GTAAGGTAACACCACGTGAACTGTTGCTGTGGTCTCTCTCCATAGAATAAATTGCCCCTCTTAACTATAGGATTACAAGACAGCAAAAATAAAAACATCTCTTGGTAGGTAAAATTTAGTTTTGCAGACCCTAAATAGACTGTGTTCCTTCTTCCTAAACTTCAACAGCAATTAACAGCAATCTTTTGTAACTTGAAAAAAACCCAACTCAATCACTATTTTCATGAAATGTTACACCTGAGCACCAAATGACCAGACTAATTCAGCGAGACATGCTAAAAGAGATGGAGAAGTACAAGTTGGCAAACTTTACCTTTCAAATTAAAACAACAAAAATGAAATACACAACTCTGCTCTGTGCAAGCTTTAACCTTCAAGCTGAGTTTCAGGTAACCCAGACATTTCATACCACAGAACTTTAAGTGTTTGCTATAAAGTATTTGTCATATAAAAGCCAACCATTTCCTACCAACTCTTCTCATAGATAGTGATATGACCAAAAAAAGAAAGAATGGAAATGAAGAACTGAATGCTCTTCTCTAAATGCAGTATACATAAAACATCAACTGCAGTCTTTTCCAGCAGAAAACCCAGAGGATCCAGATTCAAAAACTCGATTACTCTGTAGTCCCTGTCAGTGTGCAGGTGATAGTGTCAGAAAAGAAGTGTGCTGTGACTAGAAGTCTTAATAACTATGCCAAGTGTTAAATTATTTTTATTTCTATCTCTACGACACTTCAGTTAAGCTATCCATTTGAAAACTATATTGTTTTAATTTAATTTAATTTCAATGGCTATTTAAAGCTCATACTTCTTTGAGAACAGAACTGTCCAGTTCTGAAGTAACATAATGAACGTAAAGGAAGAAGTTTCTTTCATGGATTTAGAATATTATAAAAACCAGCATTATAAAATTAACACATATGGCTATACATGTGAGAGTAGAACTCTTTTCACGATGTGAACACAGAAAGAAATCTGTTTGCATTAATTGTACTATGGCACAAGCATGCCTGACAAATTTATACCAGCTACAGTTTTTCCTAAAACCCGCAAGGCAAAATAGTATATGAAGACAACTCAGTATGACATACTAGTTAAGTACACTAAGAGGGATAAAAATTATAATCTACTCACTTTGAAATAACATAGAATAACACAGAATTTAAGCATCTCTATTACAGCACCCAAAAACCAAATTAAATAAGCATTAATAAAAGCAATCCTTAACTTCAAATTTTTAATATAAAACTTAAGGATCTGTATGTCCAAAGTTTTCTCCTTTAATAAATGCATTGCCATTCTGAACATTAGAGAGTCATAATCTTCTACTAATTCTACTTGAAGACATTGGATATCAAAGCTTAGTACTAAGAAATACTATTTAGCTCACCGCCCCAAAGGCATTGGGTAGAACTTGTGCTTTCTTCTCTGCTTTCTAAGTCACTAATCTGATGCAGGGTAGTTTCTATGAGTTACTAAACCCCATATATCTGTACTTCTGATTGCAATGCAAGCCAACCACATACTTAAATTTTAGGATGGCCTAAAGTGCTTTGCTGAATCAGGACACAAATACTCCCAAGCCTAAAATGAAATTACTCCCTTCCCTAAGATTCTTTCAAGCATCCCATATTACTTCCGTCATTGTCTATGTTAACCGTTTAACATGAATTACTATACTTCTTTTTTTTAAAATACATATTTCAAACACTGCCAATACTTTTGCTATTACAAACACATTTGCTACCCTGGCAATAAAATGTCTAAAAAGCAGCTTTAAAAGGGTACTTGTCTCTGAATAGTCAGGTCCTGCTGGCCAAAAATGGCATATCAACTTTTTACAGTAAGGAAACAAGCTATGGCTAGAACACCAGCTCACAGACTTCAGTTGCATGGGCTGAAAATGAAAAATCTGCAGTTTTAAAAACTACAAAAATATACAATAAGCATATGACATCTCCCTTGCACACGCAACAAAATAGAACAAATACAATTCTCTCACAGCAAACATCGATAAACTGAAGGAAGAACAGTTGTTGTTGCAAGGACAACTCATAAAGATTTTGACAACCACTCGCTACCAGCACTGAAAGATCATAAGAAGAAAACATACAGCATGGGACTAGTATATATGAAACTTAATACACAGAGTCTTGCAAGTATTACTGTAATATTTTCCTGCAGTGATTAAATTATCTGTTCTAACTAGATTAAAAGGAACATTTTTAATATCATTCTTTTCATCGCTTTTCATTAGCACTAACTTACTATATTCAAATGTTTAAACTAATAGAGTGAAAATAAGGTTACCAACCTGAATGGCAAACACACACTCCTCTTTGTAAATGAAAAATGGTTACTTGTCCAAAGCAGTAGTCTCTCCTCTTCTCTGTTCATTTTCTACTAATTGGTTTTCTGTACATAAAATTTATGCATCCTCAAGCATTAAAGCTAGTTTCTAATCCTACATCCATAATTTGTTGAAAGATCATGACTACAAACTGTTAAGATAGATTGTCCTAACTTAAGCCAAACAGGTGAAAGGCAAAAAAAATTACAATAACTAGAATTGATATAAATATGAGACCCTTAACCTATTATTTTACAAATATTAACTATTTTTATATTTCACTACTTTATGGCTTTATATATACAATAATAAATACTTGATTTTCTCACTTTTTAAAACTCTCTTCAGCTGAAATCTTGCTTTCTTTTAGGTTTTTCCCTACGTTAAATTCTGCTACTTTGCATCTGAGCCAATTTCCCTGATTTCTATCAAAGTGGGAAAATTGCACATGAAAACTAATAGTTTTCCATAGTTTTTTTTCTACATTACTATCTTCTAGTCAAATTCTCTCTTCAGAGCTCCAGAATTTTGCATAGCCAAACAGTGGACAGTATTTTGTGACTCTGCAGAAGACCTTCTAGGCCATACTGCAGAACAGGATGTCCTCTTGTGGCTTTGGAGGTTCCCTCAACGTGAGACACAACTGAACACCAAATTTAGTGCTGGTATCAAGGGAGGTACCGATTACAGCAAAACCCCCTTTTAGTGTCACTAACACTCAGAAGCAGAGCATTGCCTTCAGCAGCCTCCCAGCACCAACCACACCGTATTGAAGATACGCCATAAATAACGTCTTTCAGGTACAGACCTGAAGGAAATAAAAGCACACATCACTATTTTCCTAAAGCTGTAAAATAATAATTTTTAGCCATTTATACATGGAGGACTACGTTTTACCAATGTGTTATTTAGGCATCTAATAACACTGAGGATTTGTAAAAGATATGAAAACGACCACTTGATGTAATCTGAAGAAAGATACCTTTCTTAGCAGAATTTAGCAACCTTTGAACTGCTCCTGAGGCACCGATTTAATACTGCATTGATTGATACAGAAATGGGAATGCAGTTGCAATTCTATTAAAAACAGTATAACTAATACCAGAGAGAAAAAATTGCTATTGAAAACTAACAGCATATCTGAAAGGGAACATGCTTGGTAGTCAATAAAGCTAAGAAAGCAGTATCTGCTGCTTATTAATAAATATTTGCATGTCTAACATCTTGTACAAATCCCTGACCCTAAACTGGAAGTTCTACAGAATTCCCAGACAGACATTCCCACACGTACTTTACAATGAATTTTTAAACCTTCCAATCAGTTCAACTTGCTCAGCAATGGCCACCTCAAGGTCAGTAATCCATCTCAGTGCAACGTGTTCCAAGGAGCTACTATTTCTGCTGGATCTGTAGGGTAACTGTTCACAAAGCACAAGCCACTACACTGCACCAAATCATGCAATACTCCTAAAAGCAGTACATACCATGACATGGTACAGAAAATAGCACCACTAAAAGAACAAAAATTTGCCTACACACCGTGCTGTGGAAATAAGCTCTTGCGTAATAAAGTGAGGTAGGCTTTTGCAAGGCTGGTGTGAAAGCGCCAATTTGTGACTTGTGAGCTATTCACAGGAGGTAGCCAGAAGTATAATCACTAACCAATTCCAATGATACAACTGGCTTCTGTCTCATCAGAGGAGTCTTTCAGGAGTGCAATGGATGGCACCAATTTCTTACTGCAAAAAGATACTTTTTCTGAGATCTGATATGACAGAAAGTGATTGTGGGTTTAAGCATGATGAAGGTAGTATTTCAGCCCAAAGCTAAAGCATTGCAAGAATAAGCAATGTAAATTTTTTAATGAGTTGCTCAACTGATAATTTTGCATGCATCAATTTTGCAACTGAAGTTGTAACTCAATTAGTACCTAAAGTAATTAAGGATGAAAGGCTATCAAAAAAAGCTTAAAAGAAGGCTTCTGTAGTTTATTGAAGTGCCTAATACTCCATCACTTCAAAAAAGGAGACTTTGTTATGTAACAAAGAAGAAAATACATTGTTTCTATGAGAGTAGAAAAGCTCTTGTAAGTGCTCTCAACTGCTAGGTTGGTAGCCAATGAACAACTGCATGAACTGCAGATTTTATGCCAAGCAAACAGACTTACAGATTTTATTAATAAATTCCATATGTATTTATATCAACATCACTTATTCTAGATTATATGCATTATTACTCATTTCATATCACACACGCGAAGCTTACCTACTCCTTTTTAGAGAACACTTGGGAAATCATTTGAAATTAGATCAGAGTTACTATCTTTAAGCATTCACAATCCACATTGCAAGCCTACATTTTACATAATCAACTGTCCAGCATAGATTTTTGGGTTCTGTACATTTGTCCACTATGTACATAACCAATATTTTATTTAACAGTTTTATTCTGAGTGAATGGAAAAATTAATGCATTAAATACATTATCAGTGAATCAGCAGCTGATGAGGGTAAATTCTGTAGAAAATTATAGGTACTGTCTAGCAGACACAAAATATATCTACAATAATTACCTCTTTGTGTGTGTGTGTCAATAGGAAAGTTTTTTTCCCCAACTCTTACGGATACTATGAGTTCTTTTTAAGTACCTTGTTTCCAATGGCCTTTTTTGGTGGAAAATTGAAAGTCCTCACTTGCTGGTACTTATTCTGTAATTTATGATGCAAGCTTCTGAACTCTGCGTACCTTCGATAAACGTTCCATTCATCATCCTTTATCCTAATATAAACCTGCAAAATACAGACACGGAAGGAAATAATTTAAAGACAAATGACTGATCTCCTTACTCTTGAAGCTCCACAGCTTAAACATCTTCACATTCATGATGCAATGGTACCGGAAGTTCCAGGATCATTTATCCATACATACATCTTTGACATTTGCTGTTTCTGTTGCACAGGTCATCAATCTTAGACCCTCTCTTCTTCCCTTTCCTTCTCTTTTCCTTTCTTTTTATTGTATTAATCGAGTCAAACATAGTGTGCTCATTTTAGCATGACTCTAGGACAACTGTGGTAGCGCTTTTTGTTACCATGGTTTCCAGCATATTCTACTATCCAGTGACCAAAGGAAAAAAATAATTTAATACCAAAAAAAATTTGATTTCTATGTTCCCAGTGCATTTTTTCAACACTTTAAATTAGCTTTGTAGCATCAGAATTGCAAAACATAGTTTTATCGAAAGTATGAAACTTAATTTACATTCTAATAAAATTACACTGAAAACTAAACTAGATATTTTATTGTTTGGAAAATAAACACAGTTCATTCTTCCTGCTTGTAACACAGCTCATTCTTGCTGCTTGTATAGACATTAAGTATAATTTAACACAGCTGTAGTTTTGTGATTCTGTTTTTGTTTCCCACTCAATTATTTCATGAGCATCTTACCAATTACATGCTAAACATTCACGTTCTCTAGGAAAATTTCATGCAGAAGTGAGATATACTTACAAAAAGCTGAGATTTCATTCATTACTAGGGAATAACCTTTCCTTCACAGAAACAAACACACAGTGTAAAAGAATGCTGAACCAGCCCAAGCCAGAAATTATAAAACTCAAGATCCCAAGTGACCTTTTCCTTAGCTGCTTCTGTAGACTCTGTAGCTCACTCATTCTTATGTGTGTGTTAATAATCTCAGAATTTTGCATCACAAACTAAGCGGGAATAGTACGGATGACACTGCCTGGCTTCTCCAAAAAAAACCCAGTAATTTAGGAAGCGGTAAGGCAAGTGTCAGGAGAATGCTTATGTAAAAAAGCAACACCAGCCACCACCACAGGCAGATTGAGCAGCAAAAAATGTATTTGTGAATACTATGAAAAAATGAAATTTGTATTTTGATGTGGCTGATTCCAAGACTGAAACAATTAACACAGTCCTTCTCCTCTAGATCTGCCGAGGCTTTAGAAAAAACGGAATGCTAAGGACTCAAGTTTTTTCAGAGATCCAGGTGTGTCAAGTGAATGTCTTTTCCCACAAAAGCAGCTTTCCTTTGGTTTGGTCTTTAAGAAGTCTTATCTCCACAGACATCTAGTTTCTCAAATACACAGGAGGCTTCTGTCTTGCAACAAAATACAGTATCACATGCAGATACTATGCAAATTCTGCCAAATTATAATATTTCACTGTAGAAAATATTCATAAATTCATAACATTGGATTCCATTGAATAACAAGTAATTTTTTGGTTACTTCATCATGTTTCATGATGACAAAAAAATGAATACTGTAACTCCAAAATTAGCACATCTAAGAATACAAGAGATTCAGAGTATTGTGTGAATTACAAATGCATAACTAAACAAAAACACTACTAGTTTTGGTAACAAAAATTCAGATCATGTAATGAAAGAGCCAATATAACAAGTCTGTAAAAGGTATTCAGATTTCTTTTGCATGTTGAAAATAAAGCTAGCATAAATATAATTAGACACCTACAGAACCATCTGTTTTAACAATTCGGTGTATGTCCAAAGTAAAATGAAGGGAAATATGAAACGCAGGTGGTTTGAAGAATTTCAACAGATTTTATTTAACGTAGTAAAAATGATATTAAATACTCTTTATTCACCAAACTCTCAACCTCTCTCACTGCTTATTCTGGCTTCAAGCAGAATATTGCTTGAAATTTTGTATACTTCCCTAAGATTCATGTTTCAACTTCCCTACAAAAGGGGGCAGGGACAAGCAGAAAGCTTAAAGTATTTTTAACCAAGCTATTAAATATGGAAATTCTAATTCACCTAAGCAGTTATCTTTGCACATGTGATTTGGTGAATCATGCAGTTCAATATTACCTGTTAAGCTGTAACCCAGAGTTAACTAATTAAGGAATCCAGTACACTGTAATTGAAATCTTTAAGGACTGCAAAAACACAGATTAATTTCTTAGACAAAACTGTCAAAGACTTTCTTCCTGTTCTTCTATGTACATAGATATTGATTTCTTTTACACAGTAAGAGATGAAAATGCAACATTTTGAGCCCTGTGCCACACTGAATTTATTGACAATCACGTAATAGAGTACGAAAGGCATACTAAAGTTCATGATGTAATACACATTTAAAGCCTTATCTCAACAAGGAATACCATTCATAAGCTCAGCTATTTCAAGACAATGCAAATTCAACTGGGAAATCAAACAAAGTAAATCCTAAATAAAAAAACTGCTTGGATAAACATATTCTAGTCTTGTCATATAAGGCACAGAGTTATCCTCATTTACATCAAATACCAAACATGCAACTTAAGCACAGGAGTAACAGGGAACAATTACTTCCGTAGACAAAATTTTGAAATAATACCAAATCAAGCAACTTGAGATATATGTTTTGAAATAGTCCTAAACTCATTAGGGCTATTCCCATCATCTTCAATGTATTCACAATTTCATTCAGGTCTTTTAACAGGAAACCAAGAAAATGTGTAGCTGCCAAACACACTTCTATGTATGTTTGTCCCAAATTACCGTGCTGCACCCTAAAGCAATGCTACTTTCTACTACTGAAAATACTTTAACATACGACATTTAATTTCAGAACAGTATTTTAAGAGCATGTTATAGAAAGTTGAAAGGACTATTCTCAGGCTCTTTCTTAGACCAACTTTAAAATCAATTCCAGCTCACTACATTTCCCTTCAAATGCCTACATTTTCCTGAAATCCTCCACTTTGCAACCTAATTAAGTAATTTTCAAGGTAATTAAAATTTAAAGACCACATCAAAATCACCACTAGAATGCTTATTTGATTGTAGACAAAAAATTTTACTTTAATACCGTTTTGTCTATCAAAAATTAATTAAGTAGCTTTTGCTTGTGATTTCAGAGCACTTTCCAGTTGGGTGTCCCACGTAAAGATTTATTGGTCACCTTTTTGTAGCTACTATTTATGGCTCCTGAAAGAAAAATTTATTTAGTAAGTATATATAATCAATTACTCTGTTATTTTCTCATCATAAACATGTTTGAAGTCAAAGATTTAAAAAGAAATAGTAAAGCCAGTAGTAATTTAATGTTTTGTTTTTCAGCCAACTACCTGCTAACTTAATGTTACTGAAGTGCTGAAAAAGTGAGAACTGATTTGAAAGCACTAGCTAATGACCGTATGCTGAAATTAATAAACTCTATTCCAGTGGTACTGGTTTTCCAGCCACAAGTTTCTTTAACAGATTAAGGAATCTTTAAGCAGTTCAGAGTAACAAATGCCCTTAACAGATCGTGGTAACAGATCAGTAACTACTGACACAGTTCATTGCTACTTTTGTACAAAAGCCTGAGGACAGGAAAGGACAAAGGCCAAAATTCCACCTTGCTCTGGTTCCCGTGTACCTTCACAGCTTAAACCCCTTCATCAACACTTGTTCTTCAGGTCTGCGCAAGTCTAAGAGTGGGTGCTTTGCTTTTTGCATGCAAAATACAGACTGATATATTCAGGATTCACTTTTTCTTTTCCCCTCATGCACTGTAGGTAGAAAGAGATACTGAACAGGATATTAGAGAATCTTCTTCTGTTGCAATGACATTCATAGCCATAGAAATACCAGGTCAAGCATCAGGAAGGAACTTCCCTAAACCAAATTACTCCTGATTATTCCTTACAAATATGGCCCGTATTTCCTGGTAGGATGATCTGAATACATAATCAAAAATGAATTCTAGACAGAGAACTCTGTGGACGGGAGCTCCACAAATACTAATCTGCTAAAGGTGCAGTCCCTGTGACTCCATCCCATTCCAGAGACAAGAAAAATGTCAGAAGAAGAAAGAATAATGCTGATGGAAGGTGAGCACTGAAACTCTGCTAAACTACACATAAAATTCAATGGCTCAAGATGCAAGAGAATGCAGAGTATTTCAGCAGCAAAACAGTTCAAAGGACAAAAACAAATACTGAGAAAGTTTGTAAAGAATCAGTCCTATGTTGGACAAGGTCATAGTTTTTCTTGGAGAAAAACTGTAATTTCTGCTATATTTTATTTCCCCTGTATTGCTGTATTTCTAACTTCCTTTCCCTCACTAAGAAAAAATGGTTTTCTGGAGATCCTCTTGTTACATACGCCCTCCAAATCAACACCCAAGTGTGCAACAACAAAAGGAAGAATTAGCAACTGGTTCGGTAGCGGCAGCCCAACCAACACAAATACGAAAATACAACATGTAAATTGGCACCACTATTTTTTAAATGTTAACTCAGCCAAGCTTGAATGCTGAAAGTTTTCTTTACATTTGGTTTTAAAAAACACTTTAAATAATTTTGGAGTACCGCTGGTCCATAGTTTTACCTCAAAAGAAAGCAGAGTAGGCATGAACTACTAGAAATGCTCTAATTTTTTGTTAAAGTTTTGTTCTTGGTACAGAAGCTATGAAATGTTTTTGAAAGATGTGACTACTTGCTTCAGATACAGGAATATCTGTTTAGATGGAACAGATTAAGATAAACAAGGATGAGAAGATTAATAATCAAACCTGCTCATGCTAACAGAACATATATATCCTAAGAAGCATATTGCTAGCACTCAGCAGGATAAACCAATGAATGAATGACAGTTCTTAAATGGATTTTATGCGTCTTCTAAGGCTGGCAGTTTGAACATTACAGGGTGATGGGAGAAAAGATTGTACAGGGAGAGAAATGCTATGTGCTTAACTTCATCCCTTTCCCCCTGTCCCGAGAGAATAAAGTAAGCTTGGAACAAATAAAAAAAATTACACAGAACAGACTT